AAAAGTAAATATGTCGTTGGTACAAAAATGTAGCAACAATATTGAATTTTATTTTATTTTTTTATTCAATGCATATTATTATAATGTAAGATTGGTAGGAATATTAGGGCACTGGTATAAATTAGTCAATTACGTTCAAAATAGAAAGCTTGTAAGTACTACAGTAATACAGTATACATATTATTTATTGGATGACGAAATTATATGCAATACAAAAAAAGGTGCTCTGCTGTACAGTAGGTTACAAGTGGGTCACTGTATAATGGATGGTATTAAATTTGAATTCAATGATATAACATCATTGTATAAGAAAAACAATTCTGAGCCTAGACGGTATATGTCAGTCTAGATATAAGACATATTATATACATAACTATGGTATAAAAAAAAATTGACCTGCAATAAATTCCACATTAATCATATCACAATATCCATTAGGTACTTATAACGAGTTATACATCAACAACAAACCCTGATACTATCTTAGATATATATTAATGTACTTAAGAAGTTTCAAGTACCCACGAATAATAATATTGTACAATCACAACAAACTAACTAAAATAGTTATTCTAGGTTTTTTATTATGTAATTTCATCCAAATTTGAACTTTGAAACAATATATTAGAATCCTTCTATTAAATTTGCAAGCTTTTTTAACCAACAAATAAAATTTCATTGATATTTATAGAAAAAAAAAATTTAAAAAAATGGAAACTGAAAATGTCCGTAAAGAGCTCAAAATGAGTCAAAATATTTGGAAATTGTTATGGTGTATAGAAAATACTAATATAAATATTCAGTCAAAATTTCATATACGTACGTTCATTTGTTTAAGAGTTGCACCAAAAGCCAAAATTTATTTTTTCGAAAACAGATTTTCTGTAAAAATTTACGTTTTTCTTTTTTTTTTCACGGCGCTTTTGAAAACTACTGAAAAAATTTTACTCCTGACCCCCCAAAGAACCAACTAGATTCACTTCCCCATCAGAAAAGATACTGTTGAAGGAAATACTGTCCTAAAAGGTGATGACAGACATAATGTACGCGACACGTGTCGATATCAATTACCTTAATATAGAAAAAAAATGTATTAATATAACAATATAAAAAGCCAAGTTTGAAATAGATAAAGTGATAGTCTGTTAAAGTAAAAGAAACGCACATTTTACCTATTTTTTATTTAATAATTTTGGTGACCTGACTGTCAATCATAACAAAATGAAAAAAAAAAGTTATTATTTTTAACTGATAGCTGAGCTTGTAATTTGCTTTGTCTTCGTAAATTAAATTAATTTGTTTTTGACAATAAGCTTAACGTTCAATTGTTCATTAACTAATTAATTACTGTCTGTTGGTCTTTGTTTGCACGTAAACAATAATTATTATGATTTTAATGATAATTATTATGGACTTTCTATTCCGAGGGACCTATGTAGTGGATGACCGGGAAGCTAGCAGTTTCCCGTTAGTCTATTTTGATAACTCATACTATATACTATATAGTATATAGGTACTCACACAAAATAAATTATTAAAATGCCCCCCTTTAAAACTTATTTGACCTCAAACTTAACGAACAATCAGATGAAAATATAATATGTTTTACTTTATTTTAGTAAATAATATACCATGGGTCTTCATTGGATCTTGGCCATTGTATTTTATAGTTTAATACTTTATCGGCAGTTTTGTTGAATAATATTTAATGCGACACATTAAATATATTCAAAGATGAAGAAACACGGACAGACATTAAAAAAATTAATCTAAATGCATACATTCGTATTTATTGTTCTGTTATATAGGAAATTGTTTTATATTTTGTAAAACAAAACTACAAAAGGGTTGAAATTTAAAGTATCAGGTTATATTAAATTACTTAAAAGTTGAAAAATATTGTGTAGGTACCGATTCTTCGAAAATATTTCTTTTAAAGAATTTAAAATGTCAGTAATGATATTAATTTAATGTATGAAATAAATTCAATTGATTTTAATATAAACCTTATACCTATCACCCATATTAGACAAAAATTAGTTTTAAACTTTTAAGACATTAACGTATGCGGGCATTGCGGGCTATATGAGGTAGTTTCGTGATATTTGATAAAGCAATATACCTCGTATTTTCTTATAAAGTAACAAAGCCTATTCAAAAAAAACATGTAGTTATACCTAAATAAATATTCAATTTTGCTTACAATATTTACTTAGTCTGACAAATTATGAAAAAGTTACATTTTAATATGTAAAAAAAATATACCAAAAATATTTTTTTATACATTTGACATTGTAAATGTTTAAGGAAATTTGGTTTTAAACATACAATTTTAAATCAATATAATATTATTATTCATGTTTTATAAACAATCAGATAAATAATATTATAATTATTAGTAAACAGGGTAATGTATTCAAAACACAATGTCGTTTTTTATGTCTGTATTTTCAACTTTTGTTCTTTATACAATGCAGACAACTTTCTTCTCTACTATAGAATTTATGAAAATAAACCTGACCTATATTTAGCTTGATATCCCGATGAAAATGCTGTTTTGAATATCCTTCAAATTATACAGAATGGTTTTAACATAATAATATGCCATTGTTATGTGGACACCGCTATGTTCCTGGTGTTAAATGCGTTTCATTTAAAAGAAAACATTATAATATAGTTATTTTGAATACGTATAAGTGTATAACTCATAATAAATTCCACGTATACAATACAATAATGTATTAATCTGAAAACGCATTTAAACTGTTATAATAGTAGCGAGTTGTACATGAAAAAAAAATATGAAACATTGTTCTCGTACGAACACAAAAACCATTCTAGTTGTTGAGTGAGCCACATAACGTACGTACTACGTAGGTAGATATTATTTTTAATAGTTAACATTCATTATCTCGGCTAAATGTTGCGTTTTTCAAAAACATTTTCAATACACGTGGAAAATAAAAATTTAAAGCTGCACGACATAATATTTCGGGAAAAAACTAATTTTCATTAAATGTACTCGCTTATACAGTTGTGTTTCTGGTCGCATTTAACTACTGTTCGTTATTTTAGTAGTGTCTATATACTTCAAACATTTCTCTTAAAACCTCACAATTTGACCGATTAAATTGATGATATTATATAATAAACCTGTTTCAAATTTAACTGTTGCCCGAAGCATGACGTATAAAATAATATAATTACTTCGTGTAATGCACCCTTGGAATTTGATACACACCAGAGACTTTATTGAATTATTACATGCTACCTTGATGTGCAAATGACGTGCGTTTCGGTTGTTTTTGTGCGTTTGCTGAGAAACTTTTTGACAAAAACCCACCAACAGTCGAGTGGCTGTGTATTGTTATTATTACAATAAATACCGTGGCGGAGGTGTCGGATATAACTGCTAAAATAATAGTATGATAATTTAATTACACGGAATATAATATCGCGATTAACTGATTAATGTTCTGTTTAAGTCGCAATAAAAACAACGAAAGGAGCTTGAAAGGGATATTATTGGAAAAATGTCCTAACAGCATTACATCTGTCACTGTGATAGTGTTCCCTCTTTTGTGTTGTCCACATAATAGTTTGTCGATTGTTTGTCCGTCGACAAAAGGGTCGACAAACTGTTAACCATTATCGTCGGTTTAGGTATACCGAGAAAGTTTAATTAAAGTAGCAATTTTTAATCCAAACACTTATCGCAAGCCAAATAATTCTCGAGGAGAGTAACAAAAACAACGTTTCATTAAATTCTTCAAGTGGGTATACAACGATGTACGTTGGTTTGAAGTCACGGTCGGACTGACGGTTTTGCTAATCGCTACTACTTATTTGTACATAAATTTAATTTAAACTTGTTTTATTCAAAAGTTGTGTTCGACGACTTTCAAAAATTTGTAACAAAAACACTTTCAGTGATTAAAGAATTATCTATGTTAGTATCGTGTTTAACGAACATTGCTATCTTTATTCCTTGTACACCTTTGTCAATTTACGAAATTGAACTTTATTAATTTTAAACTCTCGTATCGTTTAATTAGTGATAAATAATACATTTGTGTGAGTTATTAACCAAGGAAAAAAACAAAACAATTTGCAAATCATTGGACATCTATATAATAATAAAACTTTATTTTAAAACTCTTGAGTAGGTAGTAGCATAATAAATTAATATTGTATAAGCTAAACTGGAAAAAAATAGGATCTATTTTGATATGGAAAAAAGTCACTAATTAAATAAAAAAGAAATATAGGTAATTACATAATATAATATAATATAGTAAAAGACACGCACAGCGTTACTAAATATATATTGCAAATTCTACTGATAAAATAAAATAAGCTATAATTTATTTCCCATGTCAATAATTAACTGTTAGAAGTATCAATTATATATATATATATATATATATATATATATTTGATCCCCCAATAAAATGGTATCAAACACGAACACTCACTCACGTAGTATATATTATTGTGATTATAATTATATTAAATATTTTAATATTTAATTTAGTACCGACGAAAAATGTATAAATTATAATAATATTGATTTTGACTATCCTTTATTATATAGATTTTCAAGGTGATTTTATATTATGTCATATTGAGTAGTTTTTTTTTTTCTTACAATTATCTTTTCAGCAAACGTAACGACTAAACAATTGTTTAAGAGTAAATAAATGTTTATTTTGATCTATATATTGTCCGATATTGTACTGATAATTGATAACTATTAAATGTCTGAATGTTTCACAACTGCAGTAGATACATATTATTATGGTTTATGTACGCCAAGTTGTGTTATTACTACAAAGCCGCATTTCGTTCTTATCTATACCACCACTGTACGATATCGTGATAAGCATTTGTCTATGTGGTCCTCCGAACATCTACCTGATGTAATAAACGCATTAAACACACACCCTTCGCGCCAAATATAAAACGGTCATAATAATATTATATGTCTTATCTGTCCACAGGTTAAAAGTGGAACGTGCTGGTGGTGGTTGGTGCCCCAAACCACCGGTAGAACAAGGAGTCCGCGAGTGGCTGCAAGTGGACTTTCCGACAGTGCACATGATCACGGGAGTGCAAACGCAGGGGCGATTTGGACACGGCCGTGGACTCGAGTATGCCGAAGAGTACACATTGGAATACTGGAGGCCAGGGATGGCTGAATGGAAACCGTACAAGAGATGGGACGGAAAACAGGTGAGAACCGAACGATTGAAATTTCAAATTTCTATCATTATTATTTTTATAATTTTTAAGGTTAAAGTTATTCAGATTTTTTAGACTTTTCTCCAGGTTAAAGTGTAGAAGTGTTTTCATTATTGCACTAGGTACTTAGTTTAAAATCTACGTGTATAAAAATGAATGTACGTTCGGATTAAGCACGTAAACTTGGAATCTATATACTGATTCAATTAGCGCCAAAACGTAAACACATATCCTTTGACCCTCACGGTGTGTCAATAGCTTCGTCAGTTTCCCCCCTTTAAGATTGCAATAAGACTTATACAAGAATTTCGATTTTGCTCACAAAAATCGAATATTTTTTTGTTTATAATATTTTAATAGAGGGCGCCATTGGCTACTGTTTGTGTGTTTATAGATTGTAGACTCAAAAACAACTATGCTGATTTCGATGAAAATTTCAGAAATTGTTTTTAAAGAAATCAAGAAAGTTTAGGGTATAGTCTTAACCACATTCAAATATATTTCAATCGGTCGATTTAGTTCACAGTGCGAGGTATAGAACTGCAGTATTTTATATTTGTTTATTTTTTCCCAGGTGAAGTCGGATTATAGTCAGCTAGTAATATTATAAAACGTCACGTTATGCATTAGCACCATATTACTTTTATAAAAACAGCATTTTTTTTTTAAAAATAATAATATTTAAACTTAAATAAGCTTATCAGGACGTGTCCAGACAATATAATATGTCATTGTTATTATCGCATAGTGTATTCTGTTTGCGGTGATAATCGCATTTTTATAACCCACGTCGCGTTGTCTGAGTAGAGTTAGAATTGGATTTAAAATATATTATGACGTCGTACGCCGTGGTTGTTAACACTGTTACATCAACGGGAACGATAAATTATAGTCCACGATATTTCAATACCTCTTGACGTGTAGATACTGTCATCGTCAATAAAATAGTTGTGAGCGTATCATTATTTTCTTAATAATAATATATTAATACCGACGGACATCGACGGAGGTGTTACCAAAAACACTCATTCGGTCAGCTGCTTCAGAAAATGATCACTAAATTTAAAATGTTTATTATTATATAATAATCATATTATATTATATTATAAACTTAGTACTTGCATAATGTATGCTTTAAATGAGCAAAATTCATAAATAATAATTAATAACAAATATTTCCTCGTGAAAAATTAAAACTTCTCACGGACTTTTCGCAGACGTACGAAGCCATACGCATTTCAGCTGATATTATTGTTATGTTGATCAGCTTACATACATTTTTGTTTCATTATTTTCCCTAAAACGATTAAAATAAAAATAAAAATTGCTTTCGTCGACAATAGATTCAACGGTCCCAGACGTTTAACGCGTTATTATTTTAGTTTTCGGGGGGGGCAGAGAGTAGTTATTTATTCGAGCCAAAAACAATGACGACATCGAGTACAAGGTGAATACAGCAGTGGACAAAATGTTTTACGAGTTTCATAAGGAAACTTTAGTCCATGATAGCGATGGTGGCGGTGGTTGTGGAGGTGACAGTGGTGGTGGTGGTGGCAGCGGCAAAAGACTTAGGGACCCAGAGCACGTTATTAAAAACACCGGGAAATTTATGGAACGATAACAATAATATCGACCTGCCCTGTTATCTCTCCTCTGCCCTCGAGGTCGACATTAGCGGACAATAGTTCCGAAACGAAAACTTTCACACCCTGAGTACAGTTACACCGTAGTGTGTTTTGAAATTTTGGGACGGTTTTTTTTTTCTTAAAACATATTTACGACGTCTTTACGGTTTCTGCTGAGAAGCTATAATATAAAGTCACTTTCGTTGTTTTCTGTCCACTCGAGGAAAAAGCACAACCTAAATACATAAGTATTATGCCACATTTTAATTGTTCTATTTCATATTAAGCTACCAAATTGTACCTTTGTAATCATGAGAAAAATTTGAATATATACAACGATATCTAGATAGAAAAATAGATCTATTTATAATCAATTAACATTTTTATGTTCAGTAATAACCAATAATATTTAAAACATTGAACAAATTAAAATAGTTAAAAATAAATTATTATTTTAAATACCTAATAGTTATTAATTTCTTATTAAATACAATATTGTTTTAGTATTAAAACTCTAAGTTTAGATTCAATTTCATGTGAAATATATTATGTACTTGAGTTTACGATGACATTTTTTCTATTATCATTCCTTGGAAAGTGCTGTGTGTCAAGTGTTCTGGTATTAAAAGAATTTCATTTCGATTACAGCATTTCAGTTTATAAAGAGACGGCTTTATATTGTTTTAGTTCATAAAATAATCATAAATACTTGACGTTTCTACCCACTATAATAATAAGTATTAATAACTATTATAATAACTAAGCATCACGTATAGACGTCGAATAATATTTGTTTAAATATAAATTAATTTATTTTTATATTATGTATTACGTCTTATCAATGTTAAATTGAATCATCTATACACATAAACCATTTTAGTAAATAAATTTAGCTCAGTTCATCATAGTTTTTAAGAATCAATGAATCTTCCCAAAACCCTATCACTGCTGTTTATTGTATCGGGGTCGGACTTTATTGACACATTAGTTGTCCGGCGCAATGTATAGGCAATACAGCTACATGTATGCGTAAATTATTATTTTTTGTCATAGAGTTACCAGTTACATATTATTATGGTATCAGCTTTATTACTGAATACAACAGTATTATCAAACACAATAATTGTTTCAAACATATAGAATATAATATATAAATATATCAGTATTTATAATATTCCATAATATAAGATAACATGATTTTTCAAACACAGACTTTTAATAATAAATATGTCAATAGTCAATACAATTTTAAATTATTGTTTTATGTTTTTAATTATTTAAAATAATAAAGGTATATAGCTAAAATATTAGACTACATAAATTGTTGGTATGCTTTTATGTAAGATGACATGATTTGTTAAATATCGACTTTTAATAATAAATATGTCAATACTATTTTCAATTTAGTTTTAAATTATTTCAAAGAATATAGCTTAAGCATTAACATTAGATTACACAACTGCAGGTATATTTTTATTAATCTAAGTTTAATATCTGATATAAATAGAAAATAGTTTGTCATGATGTGTGTGTGTGTGTGTGTGTGTGTGTGTGTGTGTGTGTGTGTGTGTGTGTGCATTACGTTCTAATAGAATTTTAATAATATTTATAGAGTACATACTATGTTATACGCGTTCTTTTTGATTAATATTGAAGTATATTCATTAAATTCTACTTTTTATATAAATCATTACTATTATAAAGTAGAAAAAGATGGAATTAATAAAATAAAATAAATATAGGTTAGTCGACTATATAACTATAACCTTCTATAAAGGATATTATTTTATACAAAGAAAATCAATAGTAAAGGGAAACTCGGTAGGAGGCCAAGACAGAGGTTTATGGACCTTGTCGAGTTGACAAAATAAGTATTTTAGATTAACTGCAGAGGATAGAAACCAATAGATAATTATCATTGCCTACCAGGAATAACAAAAGCGAAAAATAAATAAAGTAGGTACCGTTGGAAAATTAGTAGAGTGGCATATACTTATCTCCACTTTTATTCTACGTATAGTGTCGTACAAATCGTATAATATTTTGTATTTATTTTATTTTTCATATCTCTGTGATGAATACATTATATTTTTTCTAAATGTTTGTATTTATAATTATTGTCAAACACTTAAATATTACTACTAGAGGTGCAGTGACGTTAGCGAATTTACGATTTTCACACTACCTATACATAGTACAAAATAGACGATTATTTCGGTATTCAATTAACATTCAAGTGTCAGAAGTATGAGAACATATTATTATTTTTTTACTAGCTTGTGCATCAAAGTGTGGATCCTGCTATGAGATGCTGTATAGGTACTCATATCATAATAATAGTAATAATAATAATAATAATACCGTACAACAATATAAACGGCCGTAATATAATATAGCCGCACTATATACATACGAAATATTGGAAACCATCTCCGTGTACGATACGCATTAACAGCCGATCCTGGTTTAAGGTATACGTTAACTTTTCTATTATCCCCGTGGACGTGCCCACTTGACCGTTTCGAGCGGAAAATATTAAACTCCAGCGTTCTCGCTATCGGCGATTGTGTATCGTGTGTGTGTGGCACACGGTCGAATTAACGAAACTCGTTGTAGCCTGTAAATATAACACTTGCGAGTGCACCTTTCCGGAGAAATATTATGTTGGCTAAATGTGTTCGAAAAAGTATATACGTATTCATATATATATATATATTTAGAGAACAGGAAAATGCTCTTTCCCTCAACACGCAACAAAGGTTTTTTGATGATTTTATAACTCGTATAAATGCTAAACCTTGTACGTCTGTCATGCGTCGTTCATCGTCATTCGGCGGCGCGCCATTTGCCAGCAACCACTTAATGTTTCGATATTTTATGTAGGTGTTTGTATATATATATATGTGTGTGTGTTATATATTTATGTACATACGTGAGCCCAGTCGCCCTTGAACGGGTTTAAAAGCAAATCCGAAAAAATATAATATATTATTTATAATTTTCAATAACGTCGCACAAACGTACCTAATAATAATAATATATAACTCCTTTTTACACCCTTTTGGTGTAGGCGGTTGGCGTATTTGCGTGGGTGTGACATAAATTGCATTAGTTCGACTACAACATTACTGCAAATGGAAAACATAACACGATTTACCGTGAATATTATATATTATTATAAAGTTACACCAATACGATATTAATTTTAACTAAAATGTGTTCATGTGACAGTTATATAACTGCGTATTATACACAGTTATGTATAAGGTGTCAAACAAGAAATAACCGTCCACCATGAAATTTCGAATGGGTATTTTAGTCTTCAGCTATCCGTCCGTAGAAGTATATAATGTTACGTTTCACTGT